GGGGAAGAGAAGGAAAAAAATTGGCAGAAAGTTTATAAAGAGATTATTAAAGTATATTAATGGAGGACTGTTCAGGCTCCTCATGCTTAACTGTATTTGAAAAGAAAATTAAGTTAACACTTGAAAAAAGGAAAAACATTGAAAAAGGATAGAGGATGAGCAAGCAAATAAATTTAGAATAGACACTGAAAATACAGCATTACTGGAATCGGCGACACGGGATAAAGAGAAAGGTCAGTGCAGAATTGGTCTGTGCCTTGATAACAATGTAAAGTATTAAAAATAAAAAAAACAAACATCCTTTCTTCATTGTACAAGAAAACAAACTTTCAAGATTACAAATATACTCAATTATATAACTTTATGCATTTTTCACATACCTTGCCAGTTTGAGGTAGTTCACCCCATGCCCAGTGCATTTCTGTGTTTATTCTATTCATCCCTCTTTCAGACGGCTTGCTAACCAATTCAGAATCACTGTTAGGTGTCAGAGGACGGGATCTTGCAGCACTGTAAAATAAATGAGTAACTTAACACTAAATAAATAAAAATCTCAGGGAGGTGCAAACTGGTCTGTCAAATTATATGGCCATGAGTTACCTCTGTAGATTAGGCATTCTCAATTCTCAGAATCCCTATGGTGTGGAAGCAGGCCATTTGGCCCATCAAGTCCACACAAAGGATAGAGGAAGAGTCTGGTTGGGATGCTTTCAGAGGATCAATGTTTTTCCCTTTAAGAAAAAGAAAAAAACACCATGCATTTACCACAGCTAACCCACCTAGCCTGCACATCCCTAGACACTATGGACAATTTAGCCTGAGCATTTTACCTAACCTGCTTTGGACTGGGGGAGAAAACCAGAGCACCCACACTAACAGAAACACCACACAGTCGCCAGAGGGTGGAACTGAACCCTGGTTCCAGGTACTGTGAGGCAGCAGTGCTAACCACTGAGCCACAGTGCGTCCATGGGTGAATGGATGAAATAACTGCTGACTTTTGTTTAAATCAATTAACCTGGTTTCTTTTAGTGAGCCCACCTTCTCTCAATTAGAAACAGAATTGTTATGCTTTGTTAAAGTGTTAGATGAACACATTGATACATACCATATGACTGGCTAATTGTACATTTGTATTTATTCTCTTGTATGTATTTATTCTCTTCTGTTTTAATAGTACAGAATAGAACTTAGTTCAGATGAATTTGCACAATAGGCAAAACAGCCATTATCTGCTTATCAAATACAACCAATAGGTTAGGATGTATATCCAGATCATGGAAACAGCCCCTTTAAAAAAGGACTCATTTTAACTAAAAAAAAAGGTGAAAATTCAAAACAGAAAAAAAAACAAACAGACAGTGGGTAACAGAGCTTCAAAAACCAAGATGCAGAAACTACACTTATTTGTGCATTATTATTATTCCACAAGCTAAGTTTTTCTTTTGCCTTCTTTATTGTTTTGGAAACAATAGGTTTATTTCCATAAGATTAGCAAAGAACAGATCGTCACAAAATTAGTTCAGTGACAGGAAGGTGTTTGTTGCAAGATGAGGAGATTCACAGGACACAGTACTAGGTCTTTTGATATGAAAGAGTGTCTAAAATAAAGCAGTGACATACTTAAAACATAGGTGACATGAATACCAACTTTTGTAGGTGATAAAATCACATGATGAATTGAGAGAAAGTGCAGTGTACATAAAATGCACTAAGATATTAGAATGTTTGGCAAAAAATGACAAATAGAAAATTGAAATGAAATTGGGGTAGGTGATTATGAGTAAATTTAAAAAAAACCGAGGAAGGGATTACACAGGATGCAAGAGCAAGGAGGTTATAGTAGAAAATTGTATAAGACATTAGACAGATGGTAGCTGGATAATTGTGCACAGTTCTGATCTTAGCATTACAGTCGAGAGGTGATCACAGTGCAAAAAGGACATTGCAAGGATGTGGATAGCTAAAATTCTCCTATTCTCTCTCAGAGCAGGGATGAGCTAGGCTGAGGTTCTCTTTGGAAACAGAGAAAAAGGTAAAGGTAGAGGCAGAGGCAAGACTGAACAGAGGTGAATAAAATTATGTAGAGTTTTTTGTAGAATGGCTAGGAATGATTTATTTTCCAGCAAGATGTCAATAACCAGGGACCATAGGTTTAAAAGTAGTTGGCAGAATGATATTCTTTGCACCCAGAAGGCAATGAGTTTACAGAAAGGAGGTCACATTAGTCAAAGCCCCAATCTAAAACATTCAAACCCCTTCTCTCTCCAGAAATCTAACTAGTAACAACTTGAGATGTTTATTACATGAATAATTACACATTTTATCTGTATTGAACAAATTTGCCATTTAATCAATGGCAAATTAAGTTTGGACCTTTTCCACCTGCAAGATAGTAACTGAAAAACAGGAAGAAGATGGTGGCTCATAGCAGTGCTGGAACTTCAGAAATAAAACGATCATGCCTTCAATGAAACTAAACAAATATGTTGCAAGTCAGGTTTTAAGTAGCCTTAAGTTGTTAGATTTAACAAATCATATGACAGTTTTCCCTTATTTCACACACATTATCTTAAACTAAAATCATAACATAACCAAGTTGTTGAACCTTTATCCAAGAATGTAATAGTTACAGCATGATCGAGTCATTCTTGCGCATCAATTTTCCAAATGCCAAGCCAGGAGGCAATATTTATCATCGATTCAGGCTTGTGATACACAAATTTAGCTTCACTTTCACCAAATACTTCTAAAACCGCTTTTCAAAAAAAAAAAAAAAAATCTAGGAATTAGCATGTTGTTGTCTGGAAAACTAACTCTGGTGCAAGAATGGTGTTGAGTTTGTGGAAATTTTCATGCAAGCGATTTAAATTTAAAGTATTGCAATAGGTCAATCTCCTAGTTTCTTTGACTCATGCATTTTAAATGAGGCGAGGCATCTGCTGCTCACGTATACTGCTGTGGTGAAAAAGGACCAACATGCAGAGATTGTAGATTGATCTACTACCATTGATTTAAGCCCGGAAATTGAGCTGCCACAAGATCCAGGTTTTGATGTCATTGTAACTCAGATGCTAGCAATCTTGGGTTTCCCCATTACTTTTTTTCCCCCACTTACAATCTATGCTTAATTTGGCAGGCAGGCATTCTCTGCATCTGCATGGGATTTCCTCTGGGTGCTTCGGTTTCCTCCTACAGTCCAAAGATGTGTAGGTTAGGTGGATTAGCCATGGGAAATGCAGAGTTACAGGGATAGGGTAGGTCTGGGTGGAACATTCCAAGAATTGGTGTGGACTCGATGGGCTGAATGGCCTGCTCCCACACTGTAGCAATTCTAGGATTCTATCCTTTCCAATGCACAGATCACCACGCTACAATATAATGTGAGAGCAAGCAAGTGAAGTGAACACAATCACTGATGACATTCACAAACACTGTATTAGTGCTACATCCATCCATTACAGTGGAGCAGAGATCAGTGGCCTACAGAATCTGCTTCATTATTAGAAATCAAACCAACTCTGACATTACATTGAGCAAGTCCTTACTTTTATTTTCAATCATTTCCAAAATTCTGATAAGAATGCCTGGCTTCAGCAGGAGGAAGCCAAGAAATTGAGAGAGAGAATAAAAAAGCCTCTTCACCCTGCAGCGTGCTTGGGACTGGTATCCCAGTTAAAGGGAGCTGTCCCACAGAATAGTCAAGTTACAGCCATACATAAATTTAGACCCATCAGCCAACATCCAAGCGAGCTCCTCCATCCCCAGTACTGTATGGGAGAGGAGATGGAAGACGAAATGGGAGACAATGATGTAGCAAGTACATTGACAAAGTAATTCAACCTGTTATTTGAAGGTTATGTGAAACACCCATTAAAAAAACACAAGACAAGACATGGGTCACACAGTACTGTAGAATTCAGCATGTATGCTGTAAGTTACAGGTGTCTGGGCGCAATTTAAGCAATTCACATATTACACAGTTTGCTACCTTCAGCATGTAATGAGTTCTTCTGTCAGCATTAAAAGGTGGAGACAGCTCTGTATTATTATATCACATGCCAAAATACAGTGACGACATCAGGAGTACGTCCCTGAAACTCCATGCTGTCCTAGACCCTACGACCACCTTGATCCAAACAAGCATGAATTCGACCAGAGTTTCAGATACGGGGTTTGAACAACTGCTCTAGGGTGGTACATTTTCACAATATAAAAAAGTGTACTCATGTACTGATTCAGTAAAGTCTTACGGCCCTTGATTTTTGAACAGCTTCTCAAAACAAAACGCATGGCCAGCAGGAAAACCTACAGGTTGCTGCAAATGCTACCGTATACAGAAAACCAGCATTCAGAAAAAGGTGCAACACCAAAGCCCATTATAGCCATAAGGAGGGAGGCCATTTGCTAACAACTGCAGAGTATACTGTTCCATTTGCAATTCCTGAAGAAAGTTTTGCCTGCAGGCATGGAATGTTCCCAATAGACAGTATTCTTGCTAGGGCAATTAATCCTTAGGGACATTTAAGTGCCAGGCGATAACCATCTCTAATAAGCACTTCAAGATAATATCACGAGTTAGCCCAACATCAGTGACCAGAAACTCAACTGGACCAACCTCAAAACAGTAGTGGTTCTGCAGCTAGGTATACTGGTTGAATGACTCACCTGGTTGCAAGTGCTTTTAAAATAGTGGAACAAAATGCAAGTCAACTACGCTACAGAACACACTCCATTCAGATGTTGTTGCAACTGCACTCATCCAAGTGGCAAGGCGAATCACATCCAGGATAAAGCAGTGTACATACCCATTCCGACCATTACCAGTTTTGGTTGTGTTTATTGTTTATTGATGCACTGCATCAAATTATTAAGACCATTTCACCATCATCTGCAACCTCTACCAGCCAGGAGGAGAAAAAAAAAATAAAGGACAGAATGTGCATAGAAACCATCACCTCCAGGTTGTTTCTCAAAGTCACATATCACGCTAATTTAAATAAATATGGCTTCAAAAATATCCCATTGGTTTTTAAGAGCAAGGAGCGTTGGGCAATAAATGCAGCTCTCACTAGTGACACTCGTATCCAGCGAATGAAGAAAAATATCCACAGAGAAACATCAGTCCTGAGGAAGGGTCACCAGACCCGAAAAGTTAATAGTTTTTTCCTTCGCGGGTGCTGCCAGGCCTGCTGAGCTTGTCCAACAACTTTGTTTAGTTCTGGTGAAAAATATCCACAGCATCACCCTGGTTCCAATTAGTTTGTTTTAAAGAGCTGCACAAGAACTTTATTTCAAAGTACAAAACATAATTGCTTCCTCTTATCAAATTCTTCTCACTGTATCTTAGCAAGCTTGCCTCACTCTCCCAAACCTGCCCCATCAGCATCCCTCACATCCAATTCCAGACCCATCTTACCACGTGCAGTTCCCAGAACAACTCAACACAGCCATGAAAAATACCAGCATCCCCCATGCCTGTGCCATCTTCAAAAGTCTGCTATGCACCC